AAATTCAATGAAGTAAAAATTACGTTGAAAAACGTTTCCAAATGATGGTATTTTCAAGATTACTACACTTTACAAACTACGGTATTTCCTAGATCACGGTAATTAACTAATTACGGTATTTCCGAGATTACCTTGCTTATTACGATATTTCCGAGATACGATGCTTCCAAATTGCGGTAATTCCGGAATTACGATACTTTCCAAATTACGTAGTTCCGCGAATATGGTAGTTTCCGCATATTATAGGATTTCCATGGTGACGATACTTTAAAATCACGGTGATACCGGAATTACGGTACTTTCCTAATTACGATCTTTCCAGGATTACGATACTTTACTAATTACGCTATTTCCGGGGTTACGGTAGTTTCCAATTTACGGAATTTTCCCTTTATCGTTTTTCGCATAGTTTCGGAATTTCCGAAAAATCTGGCATTTTTTATTTTCGCCAATTTCGACAAATCGCCAAAATTTATTGCCAGATTGATATAGAGGGGAGAAAAAGTTCGAAATTCGTCGATTTTATAAATATTCTTACTGTTTTCTTAATATATTTAATACGATTTTTTGCAGTTGGGGCGAAGGCTGGGGCGAGAAGGGCTTCATCAAGATGGCGCGCAACAAGAACAACCACTGCGGCGTCGCCACCAAGGCCAGCTTCCCCAACGTCTAAGCCGACAAACTACAACGCGCTACAAAATACACCTGTAGACGACAAGTCATTTTTGTTATAATTTAAAATTTTTGTAAGTTCCCCCTAATATGCCCTAATTTTCTCTGCCCTTTCCTTGATTTTCACGGACTTTTTTGACAGCTTTAACAAAAGCCATTTCCACGTTGCTCACTTTTTTCGATACATTTTACCCCTCCTCCGCGAAACCCCGTTGTACATAGTGCTATTTATTAAAAAAAACACCGACGTGTGCGTTTGCGTGGATAAAGAGTTGGATGAGCAAAATTTCCGCAAATGGCCTCGGCTAGCTGCCCGTAAAATACAGTAAAACCGAAATTAACCCCGAAAAACACTGTAAAAAAATATGGTAAAAAACCTAACCACAAACTTGGCTAATTGAACCGGCTATCGCTGTTTCTTTCCAATTTTCCCACTCGCCACCCATCTGGCCCACTGTCTGGACAGGGCTGGTCTTTGTGCGTTCTTCGCATGTTCTCTGACCGCCACCCCACTCGCCACCCATCTGGCCCACTGTCTGGACAGATAGGCCAAGCCAAATCTACCCAAATCGTCGGTCATCCGTCCCGGTGGCTCCGTACAGCCGACCAATGGGTTTCATGGCTCCCTTAATACCTTGAAACCGGAAAAGCTTCGGCTTGACCTGAACTGCTTGAAAAGCTTCGGCTTTCAGCAGAAACGGGCTTCCCCCTAGGGAAAAGCCCGGGTAAAGCACCTTCGGGCGCAGCCTTGGCGAACCTCTCGCCAAAAAAGGCTGATTTTCCAAATTTTGGACTAGCGGCTCCGGCCGGGGATTTCCGAAGTTTTTTAATCACACTTAACTTGCGGCCAGTGTCATTTGAGTGTACTTTGATCACCACCGACTCGCCACCCGTCTGGGCCACGGTGAAACTATAGCTCGGAAAAACACGCAGGGTTGGTGGTCGGGGAGGTTGGGGACTTACTATTCAATTAATTTCAATTACTTTTGAGATAGTATTATTATCATGAAATATCATACTGATATTAAATAGCAGGATAATAGCTATGCAACGCTACTCATCGACAAGATAGTTCTTCAAAAATTGCAACAGCCGTCCACTTCGTGGCGAAGATGTGAAAATAGCAAGTCTGGAAATGAAAATGCAACCAAAAAAGGCTGACTTCAAATCCGCAAGCTTCGCAAAGCACAAAGTGCTGAGCTTGGGTTAGCTAGCTTCAAATTGCGCAAGCTTTCGCCCCGCAAACGAGCAGAGCTTCAGCCAGGCAAGGATCCGCTTAGCGGGGAGGACAACCTGCGGCAACAGGTTACCTTTCGCTGAGCCTCCAAGCACTCAACCGAGGGGTTGCCCTTATGCCCGGACAGTGGGCCAGACGGGTGGCGAGTGGGGCTGGTCTTTGTGCGTTCTTCGCATGCTCTCTGACCCCGCCCCACTCGCCCCGCATCTGGCCCACGGTCAGGGCATAAGGGCAGCCCCTCGACCGAGTCATTGGAGGTGTCACCTGATGTAACGTCTGTTGTCGCAGGTTGTCCTCCCGCTAAGCGGATCCTCGCCTAGCTGAAGCTCTGCTCGTTCGCGGAGCGGAAGTTGGGCTTTTGAACCTCTGATCCTCAGAGTCACGTTTCGGGTTCTTTGCTCTGAATCTCTGAATTTTAGAATTTAGTAAATTCTCAATTTTTGATAATATAGTCTCCTGAAGACTATCAATAATAGAAGAGGAGTATCTAATAATACTATAGAATACTACTATTCAAAAAGTATCTAAAATAATTGAGTAGTAAGTCCACCGACCTCCCCGACCACCAACCCTGGGATTTTTTCCGAGGTATAGTTTCACAGCGGTCCAGAAGGGTGGCGAGTCGGCGGTGATCAAAGTACACTCAAATCACACTGGCCGCAACAATCCTAAGTTTGATTAAAAAACTTCGGTAATCCTCGGCCGTAGCCGCTAGTCAAAAATTTTAAAAATCAGCATTTTTTGGCGAGAGGTTCGCCAAGGCTGTGTCGAAAGGCCGCCGCATCAATGGCCTTCCCCTCACTTATGGCGTAGTAAAACATAGCCAGATCAGCTTCCGCTGAAAAACCCAAAAACCGAGGTCTTCGAGCAGTTCGGGAGAGAGGCTGCACTCTTTGAGCAATGCAGCAAAAGCCGAAGCCCTTCGAGCAGCTCAGCGGCGAGACGCCGAAGCTTGCCCCGCCGATAAAATATTGGCTGTAGGGAGCCACCGGGTCAGCACGAACGGCATAAAAACGAACGATTGACAAATGAACGTAAATTCGCTCGGCCTATGGCTCCTGGGGGTGGGCCAGGTGGGTGGCGAGTGGGAAATTGGTAAAGTGACAGTCGTGGCCGGTTTAGTTACCCAAGTTTGAGGTTACTTTTGTGGGCGTATTTTCCCGTTATTTCTTTTAATTTCAGCAGTTTTGTATTTGTAGTTAACCATCCTCAAAGATCCCTGCTAGTTTGCCCTCCCTCACTAGATTAAGCTCTACTGCTTCATAGCATATCTTCTTAAGCTCTTGCTTTTAGGGTATGCTGATCTTCAACTTCTCATTGTACAGCTTCGACTTGACGTCATCAACCTCAACCTGCTGGTAGAAGACCATCTTTATCGGCAAGATTATGCGTGAACCGGGGTGGTTGAGATACACACGTTAGGAATACACTTGATGAGGGTACACGTCGGGAATTATGTACATCAACGGAACACAGGAATTTCACAAAATAGAAAACGGATACGGCACAGAGAAGGAAATTTAGCTTGGGCTTTAAAATCGCTCATTCGGCCCGTGGTCGCAGCAGCCAGCCGGCGAAGATGAACAGGATGACGAGCACGAAGTAGAGGAGCACTGAAAATTGGGGAAAATAGATCAAAATCACCACTATAAAGTCAGGGGAAAATACATTACTACCTTTTTAAAGAAATTTGGTTCTCTTACATTATCGGGGGAGACCAATTTTTCTAAGGATCCATTTTTTTCCCCTATAAAACGTGAAAGTGTTTCTAAAATGTTTTTAATATGCCTAAACGTAAAAACCCTACAAATTTTGATGAAGAAAAACAATGGATATTTAAATTTTGATCAGAATTTTAGCTTAAAAATTTTTCCCCGTTTTTAAAGATAGTTTTCTACTTCAAACATAGCCAAATTTTACAAAAAAACGCTTTTAAAACACGCTACCAGGCATTTCTAGGCTCATATGCCCCCCCCCCCATATGCCAAAGATCCAGGAATTTTCCTCGTCAAAATAAGTGAAAAGATGTCTAAAATTTCACAAGAAATGACGCTGGTATTTTAAGCAAGCAATCAAAAACCGTTTTTAAAGACGCTACTTTTAAAAACAAGCCTCAAAGCTTTTAGTTCAACAAATTAAAGTTGAAAACCAACCATAAGGAGCTTTTTTGCTGCAAAAAACGCCGCGCAGCGTGCACCGCAGGGATTGTGGCTCGCCGGCTTCGGCGTCGTCGATCAGCGGGGCGTCGTCCATGTTTTAGAAACTAAAAAAAAGAGTGTAAAATCATCAAAAATACACAAAACCTAGCGCCAAAGATCTTTACGAGCGCTAATCAAAAAGTAGCAGAGAGCGCTATGTCCAAACTTTATCACTTTAAAACTCGAAATTTTGATGAAAATACAACAACAACAACAAAAAATCAGATTTTCGCTCAAAAATACAACTGAACGTTTTTAACCGCCTTTTTAAAGATGTTTTCCACTTAAAATATAGTTAAATTTTACTACAAACATTATCAAAACTTATTGACACGCTAATAGAAATTTCTAGACTTACAAAAAGTTTCCGGTCCCCCGATAATGCGAAAGAACCCCATCACCCTTAGAAATCATATCCCTCACCTTTCACGCGTCAGCAACAAGTCCGGTACAGCATTAACAAAGTTGACGTCGTCGCCTAAAAACCAGATTAAAAAATACGGCCATCATTTGCCAAAATCTGCAAATAATTTTGGGCATAAAACCCTTTTTTCGCACTTTGATCATCCACAAATTAGATAGCGAAACTTTATTCAGGCAGGAAAATGAGTGCAGATCCAAGAAATTAGAAGCACAATTGGGAAGCTCGCGAGAAATAACAATTACAACATTTAAAACAGAAATGTGTACCCGTATAGTCAACAATCCAAAACTAGAAAACAAGATTATGACCATGCAAAAACAAGGGGGATCATTTGGGGGCTGCGAAAGAACAATGCGGAAATAAATATCGGGAGCGAGGGCGGCGCTGGATGGGCGGCTTCACGCGAGCGCGGCTTTGTTCTTCGACGGGACGAAATTCTCGTAGTAGTCCATCGTCGCCTCGATCATCAGGTCAGCCTGGCAGGGGCCGTGCAGCCGACGACTTTTGCTGAAAAAAAGCAGAATAATTAAATTCAAAATAAAAGTTAGCTTCTTAAAATACGTTTTTGCGAAGTCAGCCAGGCTAGGAATTCTGAAAAAGCCCAATAAAAATGTCAAAATAAAGATTTTAAATTCTTAAATTGGTTTTTGCGAATCGAGATAATTTAGTGAAAAAATCGTAGAAAAACTTTTTTCCTATATTTCCAGAATAATTAGCACGGTAATAATGAATGTTTTAATGATTTTTGGCAAAATTTAGCTATATTTTAAGTCGACAACAATAAAAAACCTTAGAAAAATTATTTAGTTACCATTTTGGTAGAAAAATAAATATTTTTCTGTTTTTTTAATAAAAATTTGCAAAATTTTAATGCCTAGGAATAGTAAAAAAATTCAGATTTAGCTACAGAAAAGGTTAGAATTTACTCCCTCCCCCCCCCGATAATGCAAAAGACCCTGAAAAAGACCAATAAACGTTGAAAATTTCTCTTTTCATAAACGCGCTTTCTTAGTTCTTATAAAAGCCCTAGGCCTAGTAAAGAAAAAAAAAACCAACCGGGATTTCCGGCGATCAGCGAGAAGGGCGGGAAGACGGAGTCTGGAAGCACGACCGACCCGGGCTTCACCTAAAATAAAAGCAACTATATTTTAAAATAAAAAATCTCACCTCGCAGCACTCCTTCAGGCACGTGTTGCGACCGATGATCGAGTCGGCGCCGATGTGGCAGTACATGCCGATCTGCGCGGCCATGATCACACAGTCCTAAACAAAAAGAATTAATTCTTAAAATATCTGAATAAATATCATACCTTTTCGATAAAAACGTGGTCGAGGATTTGGACGGGCACGAACGCCGCTGCAGCCTGCAGCACCTTTGAACCCGGGCGAATTACCTGAAAAAAAGAAGTGTAATCAACGTTAAATAAAGAAGAAATTAGAAAATCTCTGGCTTCTATTGAGCTTAAAAACTTTGTCGAATAGTAAAGAATTGGATCTTCAGCATTATCGGGGGGGGGGGCAATTTTTTCTTAGGATCCAAAGTTCGAAATATCAATAGCGTCAGTGTTTCCTAACCGTTTTTATTATTCCTAAACGTCAAAATGTTACAAATCGTCGTTAAAAATACAAAAAAATGGCGATTTTTCGAACAAACTGGCCTATTTTCGACCAAAATTTTCCACAATAAGTTTTCTAATTTTTTTTCATTGTTTTGCCACTTAAAATATCCTTAAATTTTCCTAAAAATTGCAAAATGCTTACCGATCCCTCTCCGATGATCACGTATTTGCCGATGCGGATGGGGGCGATGTCTCCCCGGAACACGCAATCCTTCTGCAGGATGCACTGCAAAAAGACGATCATAGAAACCAATCGACCATTCTCACCTTGCCATTTAGCACAATGTTCTGGGATCCGCAGAGGGTGGCGCGCTTGTAGACCTGGAGATAGAAAATTTAATGCATTAAATAATTACATTACCAGATTCCCGACGCTGGTCTTGACGTAGTCTTCCTCGTTGTAGGTGACGATCGGGAGGTCCATCGTTTGCGTGTCCTGAAAATAAAATAGATTAGAATGCAAATTCCTAAAGTGTAAAACTTGAAAATGGGAGAAAAGTAAAAAACTCGAAGATCAATTATAACTTGATTTTCGTTATAGAAATTGACCGTTTCGCCTAGAAACCAAAATTCGCTGCTAATTTCTAGGGTCCACAACGTCAGTATTAGAAAAAATCGCAGCGTTTGAACGTAAAGCACAATTTACAATTATTTACAAATGCCGTTGCGCGATAAAAATAGAGCTATTCCGTCTAAAACGTCTAAGTTTTTAGAGACTACAACGTTACAAAACTACAAAATAAAAATATACCAACTACAAACTACAAATTTCCAGCTTACTGAATTCTATAATAGTCTTAAATTTATTTCCGGTGGTAGAAACTATTATTACTTTACAAAAATGCAAAATAAAACAAATTTACCAGACTACAAATCGCACAAACTACAAAATTTCCACGTACCGATTTCTAAAATCGACGTAGAATATTTCTTTGCTATAAAAATATTCTAATTCATGTTCTCTGTAACCTGCAGATACTCCGGCTGTTGCCAAAACAAATTATATTTTGCCCAAAGCACCGTTGGCAGGTGGTGAAGCGCTTTATTCGACGACGACGACAAAAAATGCCAGATCACCATTCCAGACACACAAAAAAAATAAAGAGGAGAATGGGCAGCGTGGGTGAAGCTCGAAAATTACACAAGAAAGCGGAAGAAGAAAACGTGCAAAAAGATTTGGGCCAGAGGAGAAGCGAGAGAGAGAGCAAACTTGTCCTTTTGTAAGGCAACGTTCACCAAAACAGACGTCAAGAATTTTTTAAGAAGGCGGGAATGCGTTTCGGGGAATAGATTATAGATTATAGATACATTTTCGGGGGCACAATAAATAAAAAACGCCATTACACAACCATTTTCGGGGAGGGGAAATGTTTTTGTGCAAAAAAAAAATTGCGCAATTTTTGGGCCCGAATCGGGGAGTAGGAGGAGTAACTGAAATGGGCTAGATATGGGTGGGTGCGGAGAGCGGGACGTTGGATAAATGATCACTAGAAACGGCTGAGACTCTCCGGATAAGGCGGTAGGTAAAGTGAGGTGAGCCCCAGGAGGCCCTTGAGCATAAAGCTAGAAATCGGTTGATTCTTTGGTATTTTCAGGAGGGGAGCTATTTTTTACATCCTATAGGTGCAGAAAAATTTTTATATATTTTTAGCAAACTTGAGCGATACTTGAAGCGAAAAGACAATTTAGAAACTTCGGCTATTAGATTTTTTCAGTTGAAATTTGGGTCCAAAACCTATATTTTTTTTGTACGTTTTCATCGAAATTTGTAAGGTTTTACGTTTAGCTATCGTGAAATTTATTATTATAATTATTTTACAAAAATCGGATCCTTAAGATAGCCCCCCGTAAAAACCAAAGAACCGAAAAAAAACACACGACACAAAAACAGCAGGCGAGCAACGGGGTCGAATTGAGGGCCCTGAGCGGTGTGTTGTGGGGATGTTCATCTGCTCATCATCACCTCAGCTGCCGGCTTACGTGAGGGCGCCGAAGACGGCGTTGTGCCGGCAGATGGAGGGGCCCTTCTCGTCGTACTCGGCCTTCGTGTGTGCCACTTGGTAGAATTCGGCCTGGAAAAATTTGGATAAATAAGGGAAGTAAATAGTCAGAAAGATTTAATCTTCGTTTTTTTTTATGCAAATCGAGAAACTGTTTTGACTATTCCCAAACGTAAAAACGTTCCAATTTTGATTAACAATACAAAAAAAAATCCATTTTGTGCCCAAAATTTCACAACAATCCTTTGTTAATGCGAAAAACCTATTATAAATTTCCTGAATTTGAAGTTCTCAAATAATTTCCTTAGCAGCTCAATAAAATCGTTCTAAAATTCAAAAAACTCACCGTAGAAGCCAGCATCGAGCCTCCAAACCAGACGGCGTACCGCTGCATCTTGTGCGAGATCACCGAGACGTCAATGGGTTTCGCCTGGAAAAAAAGGGGTAAAAACGTGAAAAAATAAACACCTTTAGGGCACCGCCCGACAGCGCTTCACTCATCTGAATCCTTGCGTCGGCCATGCGCTTGATGTCGCGCTGGAGGCGGCGGCCAAAGTCCTAGAAAAACAAGTTTATTTTCGAATTAATTTTTGATATAAGTACCTTGAACATGGTGCTGCCGCCGGAGAGCACGATATTCTCGTAGAGGCCGCGGCGCACGTCGATCGGGCACTGCTGGATGACCTTGTCGATGACCTCGGAGATTGGAGTCGTGAAGTCAGAGTTGGAGAACTGGAAAAGCAAAATTCTACAAATGATTGCCAAGGTTTCAGATTTTGCCGATATAAATATCTAAACCAGTTATTATTCCAGAACGTAGAAACGTTACAAACTTTGATAAAACGTACGAATAATATAGATTTTTCGACTAACAACAGCCGACTTTCAACAAAAACTTCAACTAGAAATTTTTTGGAGTTTCTTGTAATAGATTTTGGTCCCATGATAATGAGAAAGAACCTTTAAAATGCACGAAACAAAACAAAAAAATTTTCAAAACAAAATTTACCTCTGGATGGAAGAAAATCTCGGGCCCGATGAAGCGCTCAAAGCCGACGTCGCACGTGAACGGCTGCTTGTTGATCTTGTTGACGCTGGTGTACGTCTAAAGACAAAAAATAAAATTCGAAATCGACGCACGCACCTTGATGAACTTCGAGCCGTCCGTCTCGTACTTCGTAAACTCCTTGAGGATGTCGGGGCACACGTAGCAGTACTGCTCCTTGATCGCCTTGGCCACCTCGAACGTCTGCTCGAGTGGGATCTGCGTCTCGCGGTCACGCAGCAGCGACTGGATGAAGTAGGTGATGTCGCGGCCTGAAAAAAATGGATTTAAGTTGGTCGAGATTAAATCTCAAATCGTTTAGGCTAGCTTGCCCGTTCACTTTAAAAGAGTTTGGCTTCACGAAAATTACGAAAAAATCATATAAAACACTTCAAAAACTTCAAATTTTCATTTTTTTTTGTCATTTTTCTATGAATTTTTGCCGATATCTTCAACTTTTGATAGAGATCCGACAAGGTTTTTCAGTATAAAAACGCTCTAAAACGATGGGATACCTGCGATTGGAATGTGCTTGATGCAGGAGCCGATGACGTAGCCCTCAGCAACCGGGATACAATGCGTCACACCGTCACCAGAGTCAATTACCTGGAAAGTAGGATTTAATAGAAAACTCGAAGAAAAAATAGAAAACGGTTCTTGCGCATTATCGGGATTGGGTTAAAAGACCCCACCCCCCGATATTGCAAAAGAACCGAAAATAACGAGACCACCAATTCTTCCCTAATCCGAAAATTGTCCTTACCAAGCCAGTGAGTGAGCGCTTTTCGAGGTCTTGAGACTGCCATGAGGCGGCGAGCGCGAGAACGGCCTGAAACAAACAATCAATATAAAAATGGTATACAAAAAAAGTAAAAAAAAAACACGGACAAATAAAATACCTGAACAGCAATGTACAACCCGGGCACGTTGAACGTCTCGAACATGATCTCGGCGGTCAGCTCGCGATTTTCGGGCGTGTTGAGCGGGGGTTCGGTCTAAATTCTTGGTAATAGGCAATGAAGTTCTAGCGAACCAGTAGAAAGTAATGATCCTCCGGCTCGGCCTTCAGGTATTTGAAGATGGCCTGCTCCCAGAAGCGCTCCATCAGGTTCCAGTCTTCGACGATACCATGGCGAATCGGGTACTAAAATACAAAATTTAATAAAGTTTTTAGCAGATAAATAGACCTTAATTAAATATATAAAGATTAGTTAAAAACAAAGGACAGAAGCTATTATAAAAAGCTTAGAAAGTAAAAGACAAACAGCTAGAAAATTTCAAAATTTGGCCAAAATTTTCGATTTAGGTCCAGAATTGAGGTGAATTTCTGTCGATATTTTTTTCTTGAAGATTTTTTTACGAGAATAGGTTTAAAATCATGGTAAACAGCAATACATTCCCCCCGATAATGTAAAAAAAAACAAAAAACCGCCTAAAATTCAAAAACAAACTTTTAATGAATAGGTCGCAGCCGCCGGCGACAGAGCCTCGTCCCCAATGAAAAAGTCGAGGTCGTCTATGCGGCCCTTCTCGAGCCCCTGGCGGCCGGCTTGCTCCCGAACGGCTAGTGCTGAATAAAAAACATCAAATTTTAATGCCAAGACGTACCGGTGGGGATGATAAACTGCGGCTCCGAGTTGAAGGCGTAGCCGAGCTTGGAGTAGCTAAACGAGAAAATCCTTTGAAAGTTTAAAGAATACTAACCCTGTGCCGTTGTCGATGACGACCGCCGGCAGCCGACCAGTCATTCTACCTGAAAAATGGGGGTTAGAAAAGCATAATGAGAGGAATAAGAGCGGAATGAAAATCGAAAATCTGTAAAATGGCTATTTTTTTCTTAGTTTCTAGAGTTAATCAGCTAATACAGATAATTTAAAGCTCTTTAGAAGTCTGAAAATGAGAAAATCGGAAGCGCAAGAACTCGTAAAAGAACAAGATTTTAAATGAAGGGTTTTTAGAAGTTGCCAATGGCCAGGGTTATATTTATTTACGCACATTCTCAATGTATAAGTTAGATAAGCCAAAGAAAAGCTTCCGAAGCTGGTTAGAAACCAGACATGGGGGAAGTAAAGTAGGGCTAAAACCACTTGGCTCGTCTGTTCTAAGTCAACAAAGTTCAAGTCAAGCTTTCTAAGCTCCTTAGATTTCACTACTGTCCAAACAACGTTCAGGCGTCCCGGGAGGAAAAGCTTGGAATTAGGATCACGAAGACGATCATTTTTTCGTTCTCGATTTCTACGTTAAAAAAGCTGAAGCAAAGCTTTTGAAGCCGGTGAAATGTCAGAAAAGGGCAAATAAAAGGAGATCGTAAAACTGCAGGATAAAAATTTTAGTCTTTTTAGAGGTTTCGAATGGCCAGGTATAGAACTTCTTCTGCTAAATCACGATTGCTACGTTTTAAAAGTTAAAGCTAAGCTTTAGAAGCCGTTTAGAAGCTTCAGCACTATCCAAACAGTGTTCGGTGGTTCCTTTGACTCGCCGGAACTGAATCACTGCCAACCCCGCTCAGCCACTGCCACGCAATAGCCTCGCGACGGGACCCGACCCAGAAAATACCCAGGCCATCTCGAGGCTTGCATCACAAAGAAAAAGTCTTCTTATTGAAATGAAAACCTATTTTTTTTTATAAAAAATACTATGAAACCTTTCATCATGATTTAGACGTATTTTACTTTACAAGGAAATAGCTTATCTCGACGGGAAAGCATAAAGATAGAGTTTTTTTGAAGTCTAGGCTTGCATAACCAAGAAAAAAAAAAACGTCTTTTTATCAAAATTTGAATCGGTTTTTGTACCCTAAAGAAATACATAACAGATTTTCCAAATCTAGCGTTTCATCGAAATCAAACTGTTGCTTTTTAGTGTCAAAAAATTTCGCCTTATATTAACCTCCCTTTTGAAAAATCTTGCCTCGACGCGACACCGGAAATATAAACCCTTTTTCAGGCGCAAATGACCGACCAAGACATCTCCACGTTCCGCGACTTTCTGCGCCAATACAACGTCGTCACCGAGCAGTGCTTCGGCTCGTGCATCTCCGATTTGACGTCCGGCTCCGTGTCCGACAGCGAGGAGCGCTGCACGACGAACTGCCTCGACAAATTCCTGAAAATGTCGCAGCGGATGTCGACCCGATTCGCCGAACATCAAATGCTCAACAACGAGGCCAACGGGGCGCCGTTACCCAAATGAACACGGCGGCGCCAAGCAAAATGATCTCTTTGCCGCGTGTTTTATAGATTTGCTAACGTTTCACTTGTGATACTCAGTTTTCGACGAGGGTGGAAAAGCCCGCATTGGAAGGGTTAATTGCTCTTTATAGTTTGTTGTTTATCCCAGTATCGAATTTACATAGTTTATGATTAGTTAGGCCCGGATTTTTTTGTGGACGCCGATGCGCTTTCCTGGTGTTGTTTGCACTGTTGTTCTTACGTTCTCGTGCCTTTTTTTCTCCTCTTTTGTCCCTGTACCGAGAGCATAAATTACAGAATGGCCGACGATCTACCAGCGTTGGATTTGGGCAAGAAGAAGAAGGCGAAGAAGCCGTTGAAGCTGGATGACGAGCCGGCTGAGGGTGTGGCCGCGCCGGCAGATGTTGCCGCAGCTACTGATGATATTGGTGTGAAATTTTTGGCTTTAAATATAGTTCTGATGTAGGTGATTTGCAACTCGGCAAAAAGAAGTCGAAGAAGAAGGACAAGGCCCTCGCCGAGGAGGTGCCCGGCGCGGCTGATGGTGCCGACAGCACGATAGGTATCATTTTTTAGCTACCAAATTTAATGTCGTTTTTCAGCTTCCGGTATCGGCCGCGACAACCTGATCGACGCGAAAGGCGCGTGGCCCGATTATTCCTACCAAGACATGCTGACCCTCGTGTTCAACGTGATGCGCGAGAAGAACCCGGATATGGCCGGCGAGAAGAAGAAGTTCGCGATGAAGCCCCCAGAGGTAAGTTTTCGTCGTTCGTAAGATTTATTTACTTTTTCAGGTCCAACGAGCCGGCTCAAAGAAGACGGCCTTCTCCAACTTCACCGAAATTTGCCGCGTGTTGAAGCGTGATAATAAGCACGTCTTACAGGTACGTTTTTCGTCATTAAAAATACATCTTTCATTTCCAGTTCCTTTTGGCCGAGTTGGGTACGACCGGTTCGATCGACGGCAACAATTGTTTGATTCTGAAGGGAAAATTCTTGCAAAAGCACTTGGAAAGCGTGTTGCGAAAGTATATTAGTAAGTGGCGCTTCTGTTGGCGTAAAACATGTTATTTTAGAAGAATACGTAATGTGCCACACGTGCAAGTCGTCGGATACGGCGCTCGTTAGGGTTTGTTCTTTTCTTAGATCTTTTCATAATTTTTTGTATAGGAAACTCGTCTCTTCTTCCTCCAATGCCACTCTTGCAATTCGCGCTGCTCGGTGACGGCGATCCGAGCCGGATTCACGGCTATGGTTGGAAAGGTTTGTAAAAATGTTTCGTTCAAGATTACGTTCTTTTTTCAGCGTGCCGCCATCCGACGAGCGCAAGAAGCCACCGGTCAGCCAATGAAGTAATCGATATTCCACCTCGTTATCCCCCATTATTGCTGTTATGTGATTGTGTTTTCGGTAAATAAAGTGTTTCTATCATAACCCGGGCTATGTTTTGGTATTGCACAGGAGACAGTTCTGCAACGTGGCCGTGATGACTGTACTTTCGTGATGCCAGCCTGATCCCAAATGCGGGATCTCATCAATCTCGTTCCGGGTGGCCGTTCAGGCCGGAAAGAAAATTTCCGTTTTTCTGCCACGCCTATCAAAGCCACCGGCAAACCTTTTCGCAGTTGCGGCGATCGCTGGGTTGTTTTTCGATCCGGAAGGGTTTTTGAGAAGTATTATAGTGTTTGAAGCTTATTTTAACATTTTAAGCTTTTTAAAAGCTTATTTTAATACGTTTAGTAAGTTGTATAAACTTTTGTTAAAGTTTTTGATAAGCTTTTTAAGTTTAAAGCTCTTTTTAGGAGCCATAAACTTACATAACTTTCTAAACCCTATTTTACTACTTTTAGAAAGTTATACAACTTTATAAAAGCTGATTTTAATACGCTTAGCTAGTCATATAACTACTACAGATTATATAAAGCCTTAATATACTTCTAGATGGCCGCCCGCTTCCGCACGTCGCTATTTTTCGCCTCGTAAGTCGGCCAGCTAGCAGAGACGCTTAGGGAAATCAATAGAGCTATATTTGGCTTGCAAATCCCTTTAAAGCTTCCAAATTTTAGCTTGACGCTTCTATCGGCCAAGCCGTGGGACTGGAACCCGGCCGACGGGCAGTTCGACTGGAACACGGCCGGGGATCGGCTGTGCAAGCTTGGAGGTGCGTGTGGATTTTGGCTTTCGGGGTCCTTTAAACGTAGCAAAGAAGCTGTAAGTGTCATTTCAGCGTTATTAAAGTTAAAAACATGTTTTTTTTAAAGACAGCTACGATCGGACAGCGACTGATTGCCTAAGGAGGGCCGCTGACCCTTTTGCTGACGTTCTGCAGCTGGCTTCAGATATGGGCGGTGGGTTAAACTGAACTGCATTTAAAAAGTTCTTTAAATTTCCTCAAATGATCTCTGCTAGCTAGCTGGTTAAAAGCGACCTTTAAGGGACCTTTTTCGCCATTTAGAAAGCTAAGAAAATTCCTCAAATGGTCTCTGCTAGCTACGCGCACCAATCGGGATTTTTTAAAGTGATTTTCTTCGTGCTAAAAGCTCAATAAAAATTCCGCAAATGATCTCTGCTAGCTACCTAGCGAATGTAGGTTTTAGAAAACGGTTTTCTACATTTTAAACGAGGAATTAAATTTCCTCAAGTGATCTCTGCTAGTTACCTAGCGAATCTAGCACTTAGAAACAGTTTTCTCCCTTTTAAAAGCTGCTTAAACTTCCGCAAATGGTCTCTGCTAGCTACCTAGCGCTGATGTTGTTTTTTAGAGATCTGGTCGATGATCGATCTGCGCACGTTGCGCTCGCCGGGGCTTGAGGTGGAGACGCTGCGGACTTGTATTCTTACAGGTATCTTTAAAACCTTATTAATGGCTCAGCAGCTTTCTCTAAGCTTTGGAAACTTTAAAAATAAGCGCAAAAAGCTTAAAAACATATGAAACATTAAATTTAGACAATTTCCCCACCGATCTCTTCCAAGTGACGAGCCAGGCGCCGAACCGGCAGCAGTTTTTCACGACGACTTTGACGAGAATGCGGGCTACGGTGAAGCGTACGTTAATTACTTAGTACGGATGCACACGTACTTTTCATAGCTACATAAAGTTTAGAGTTTAAATATTTAATTCCAGGCTGCTTCAGCAAGTTCCCGTGCGGCCGGAATTGAGCGCGGGGCGACATTTGTATCTTGTAGTTTCTAGGAATTAATAAAAGCTCGCTACAGACGCCAAACTACATTTTAGTGGTGGCCGCGGTAGGCTACTAATTACACTTAATAGCAGAACTACACCTGATTGTAGCGGAATTTTTTAGAAAGTTTCTGGAGAAGCAAGAAGCTAAAATTCCAGGCTACAAGCCACAAAATCCACGCTTGCGGTCGTATTGGTACAAACTACATCCGAAAAAACGCAATTTCCTACGAATTTTGTGCAACTACGCCATCTACGTCCTTGAATTTCAGGCTACAGGCTCCAATACGCCCGACCAAGTAGCTGCGTCGTTATAAGCTTTTTTCAGAAGGCAGAGGCTAAAATTCTAGACTAAAACTCCAAACTACACTCTATTTAGGAAGAAAATTAGCTACAAAATTTTTCGCGAAGTTCGAAGCCAAATTCGAGGCCACAAACTCCAAACTACACGCCCATCGGCAACATTTTTCGGGCCAGTTTTCCGGGCTGCAGCTCCCCCCAGCAGCGGCGCCGGAAAGCGGCTTCAATTTGTCGTTAGAAATTGGGGGGCTGGGGGCGCGGATCGTGGAGGAGGAGGAGGACGAGATGGAGAAGGAGCAGCAGAAGCAGCCCCGTAGAGAGCGGCCACCGGGCCCTAGGGCTACTGGCGCTGGGGGCCCAGGACCCACTTCTGGGCCCCCTCTCACTTTCTACACTCTCTAGCCGGGATGTGGGCCCCGGGGGCTAGGGGCCCACTAGGCCCCACCCAAGACCCGCACGCACAATATTGCCAATAATATGGTGCGCGCAGGGGTTTCGGGTTTTTGGAATTTTACCAAGCCTAATTTGCATCCGGGATTTAGCAAAAATAGCATTTAAACCTTGTTAATAGCGATAATAAAGCTTGTAGAGAGTATTATAACGTTAAAAACGTCCTTTTTACGGCTTGTTTTCAGCAAAAACTGGAAATTAACCATTTTCTATTCGATTTCGCAATTTAAACCTGTTTTAAAGCCAATTAAATCTATTTAATAGATAAAGCAAATTAATAGCCCATTTAAATAACAGCATGATAGTTTTTGAGGCTTAAAAAGTATGTTTTACGACTTTCCGCTTTTCTGGACCTTAAATATATGCAAATTAGGGACAAATGCGGCGAATTGTGACGCTTTAGACTTGGTTTAAATAGTATTTAGCTATAGTAAAAATAAAAAATAGTTGAATAATATAAACAGGAAATCGATAATTTTAAGAGGTTGCAAAACTAATTTTAACAATTTTCGGTGCTTCCTTTTAAAGTATATTTTTGTTAGGGATATAGCTAAAGCGATATTCTTATTTTTCAGGTTTTCTATACAATTTAGCCCATTTTAAAGAGCATTATTTTATTCAAAGTGTTTGCCATCTGGTGTCAATTTGTACAATTCGTTTCCCGAGACGCCATGGGCCCTAATCGACCACATGTGGGGATAGGGCCACTAGCAAGGGTGAAGCCCCCCGTTCTTTGTAGTAATCGTTTCCTTCTGAGCGTAGTAGCATTTCGGAATTTATGACAGTGATTTAAACTAATTCTATTAATTTATAACTAATTTAAAAAACGTGTTAAGACAACGTAAATGTTTTTAGAATCTATAAAACCCAATAATTTGCTGCCTTTTTGGGCTTAAGCTATTTTAAAACATAAACTAACTCTTTTAAGCAGTGTGGGCAAGCTAGCAGAGATTATTTAGCTTCTCGAACGCACATTTCCGTCATTTACCTGACGCTAGGTCCAGGTGCAGCCCTTGGGGGGCTCTTTGAGGATCCGGTTTTCGACATGCTTTTGTCTCTCTCTCTCTCTCTCTCTCTCTCTCTCTCTCTCTCTCGCTCTCTCTATCTCTAACTGTCTCCTTTTGTATCTGTGTAATACGGGGTGCTCCTAAAGCCCAACCTCTTGGCTTGACATGCCCCCCTAGACCGCCCCAGCTGTCTGCCCGGGAGGGCTATTGGTTTCCGTGTTTATTTTTGCTCGCTGTGCGCCATGCAAGCCTAAGCCTAAGTATATGCCTAAGCTAAGCCTAATCCTAATCCTAAGCCTAAGCTTAAGCCTAAGCCCAACCCAAGCCTAATTCTTCCAGGTCACTTCAAAATCTTTTAAAAACGGATTGCCGTTGACGTTCTGCCCATTGAAGCCCCATAAACATTCTGGGGCCCCAAGAAACCCGAGATTTTCCAATTCTGGCTCCTCCAGAATCGCCTTGGCCATCTCAGCCGACCAATCCCGGGGCAATTAGGCGTCCCATCCGCCCCGGCCTTTTTCCGGCAGAATACTGACTACAAATCTCTGCTAGCCTGCCCAGAGTTCCGAAATGATCCCTGCTAGCCTGCCCTAAATTCCCTAGGGCTTCCTTTTCCTAATAGACTCTGCTATCTCTCCCTCTCTCTCTCGCGCTCTCGATCTCTCGCTCTCTCTCTCAAAAATGCCCTTAGCCAAAATGTGGGCGGAAGCGGAGGTGGGCGCTGGGGCCCAGCCGACGGCGTCGAACGGGACGAACGGGATGGGGCCCGATTCGGAGTACACCGCCCAGCTGCAGGGGTTGATCGACGAGATGAGTGAGTTCAGTTTAAGCCTAAGCCTAAGCCTAAGCCTAAGCCTAAGCCTAAGCCTAAGCCTAAGCCTAAGCCTAAGCCTGATCCTAAACTGAGCCTGAGCCTGAGCATGAGCCTGAGCCTAAGCCTAAGCTCAAACCTAATCAGGAGCCGAAGCCCAAACCTAAGCTTGCTTTTCCAGGACTCCAAGACTTTGACTCGATCCGTTTCGCCACCTACCGGGCCGCCTGCAAGCTCCGTTTCATCCAGAACAAGACCAACGCCCACCTGGTCGATATTTGGAACATGATCGACAGCTTCCGGGAGAACGGGCTGAACGCGTTGCCCATCTACACGCAGGTGCGTAGCTTTTCTGGTACCTTACCAAGCTAAGCTGAGCCACCCAAGCCCCCTTTTCTAGATCAAAGCCTCGCGAGTCGAGCTGTTGCTCACCTCGATATTCCACAATCTCAACAAGCGGCTCGTCTCCTCGCAGCACATCGACACCGACAAGTCCATCTCGTTGCTGCTGGCATTTTTGCTGGGCGCTTATGATAAGTAAGTTAAGCTAGGTCTACGCTTAAGTCTATGCCAGAGTCTACGCCTAAGCCTAAGCTTAAGCCCAAGCCTAAGTCTTTGCCTGAGCCTAAGCCTAAGCCTAAGCCTAAACCTCAGCCAAGCCTAAGCCCATTTAGACAACAATCCGGCCGCCTCTCCATCTTCTCGATAAAAATTGCCCTGGCTACCGTATGCGCGGGGAAGCTGGTGGATAAGCTGCGCTACATGTTCTCCCAAATCTCCGACTCAAATGGCCATATGGAGCACGATCGGTTTGCGGACTTGTTGCAACAGGTGAGAAATCTGGGGAGGCTAGCAGAGATTCTTTAGGAAAAGGCAGGCTAGCAGAGATTCTTTAGGAAAGGGCAGGCTAGCAGAGATTCTTTAGGAAAGGGCAGGCTAGCAGAGATTCTTTAGGAAAAGGCAGGCTAGCAGAGATTCTTTAGGAATGGGCAGGCTAGCAGAGATTCTTTAGGAAAGGGCAGGCTAGCAGAGATTCTTTAGGAAAGGGCAGGCTAGCAGAGATTCTTTAGGAAAAGGCAGGCTAGCAGAGATTCTTTAGGAAAGGGCAGGCTAGCAGAGATTCTTTTGGAAAGGGCAGGCTAGCAGAGATTCTTTAGGAAAGGGCAGGCTAGCAGAGATTCTTTAGGAAAGGGCAGGCTAGCAGAGATTCTTTAGGAAAGGGCAGGCTAGCAGAGATTCTTTTGGAAAGGGCAGGCTAGCAGAGATTCTTTAGGAAAGGGCAGGCTAGCAGAGATTCTTTTGGAAAGGGCAGGCTAGCAGAGATTCTTTAGGAAAACCGATTTAACGCCTTCTTTCAGGCCCTGGCCCTCACCACAGCCGTATTCGAAGCTCCCACTTTCGGCTTCACCGAGGCTGCCGTTGCTCAATGCTTTCCGAAAGACGCCAAAGTGACGCTCAACCATTTTCTGGACGTGTTCATGTCGGACCCGTGCCCGCCTTGTATTATGTGGTACGCAAGTGATACAGTATACCTTAAACGGTGCCTTTTAGGCTACCTCTACTCCACCGTATGGCCTCGGTTGAGCATGTCTACCATCCGGTTGTCTGCGATGCGTGCCAGGTGCGAAAATTTGGGTTGCAGAGGCCTAAGCCTAAGCTTAAACCTAAGCAAAACCTAAGCCAAGTTTAAGCCGAGCCCGAGCCAAGTCTAAGCCAAAGCCCAAGCTATGCCTATGCCCAAGCCTAAGCCTAAGCAAAGACTAAGCCTAAGCCTAAGAAACGTCTAAGCCAAGCGTAAGCTTAAGCCCAAGCCTAGCCTACGCAAAGCCTAAGCAAAGCCTAAGCAAAGCCTAAGCCTAAGCCAAGCCTAAGCCAAGCCTAAGCCCAAGCTATGCCTAAGCCCAAGTTAAGCCTAGTTAATCCCAACCAATTACGCCTTGTAATTCCAGGTGCGCTCGTTCACCGGTTTCCGCTACAAGTGCCAACGCTGCGCCAACTACCAGCTGTGTCAGAACTGTTTCTGGCGGGGCCGAACCTCGCACAGCCACTCGAACGAGCACGAGATGAAGGAGTACTCTTCCTATGTAGGTTTTTAAAAGCTTGTGTCTTTTAAAGGGCCGGTGAAGCCAAAAAATAGGGATATTGTTATATGGATTTTAGAAATCCCCCACTCGCCAACTCGCGCATTCCATTCAAAAATCGCTGCAATGCGTGCCGAGCGGTCAGGCGAAACCACAGGCAAAGGTGAGAGGAAAAACGGAAATTTCGAGCCACACCTATTGGCAGATCGTTCCGATGCAATACGATCGTCCGGTGAAGCCGTTGGAGTTGACAAATATTGTCCCGGCAACACCGACCACGTTACGGTAGGTGGAGAAAGATTTTAAAGGGACTGGGAAGGGGGTGGGCAAGCTGGCAGAGGTATTTTAGGAAACGGCAGGCTAGCAGAGATTTTTTAGGAAAGGGCAGGCTAGCAGAGATTCTTTAGGAAAGGGCAGGCTAGCAAAGATTCCTTAGGAGATTGAGCTGAAAAATGGAGGAATCTAGCAGAAATCCTTGGGGAAACGGAGCAGAAACCTTTGAGAAAACTAGCAGAGATTCTTTAGAAAAACAGAAGTTTTTCAGGCGTCACCAGAGCGAGCGCGCGCCCTCTTGGCCCTCTTCGCCTGTTCTGCTACCCGGCCAAATCGCTGTCAACGGCCACCTGGATGATGAGCACAAGCTCATCGCCAGGTATTCGGCAAAGTTGAGCGGGAGGGCTGAGGTAAGCTTAAATCCTGAAATTTACATAAGCCATTGACTTACAGTACCCCCTCGGCTCGGCCCGAGTCTACGGAGCCGATCGGCCGACCGATGAGAGGAGTCTCATCGCCCAGCTCGAGGAGGAGAATACGGAAATGGTGCGCGAGATGGCCAGGCTGGAGAATCAGGTAATTCCACAGCCGTCAATGCTAGATTGCCTTTTCCAGTTTATTACTGAGGACGGACAGCTGACCGGGCTGAGGGAACGGAAATCACAGCTGGAGGAGAAGATGTTCGTGATGCAGCAGAGGAGGAGGGATCTCATGATGCAGCTGGAGGGATTGATGGCACAATTGAATGTGAGGAAAGAGAGAGAGAGAGAGAGAGAGAGAGAGAGAGAGAGAGAGAAAGAGAAAGAGAGAGAGAAAGAGAGAGCGAGAGCGAGAGAGAATGGGTGATGGGCTTAGTACGTGAAATTGCCTGCTGCGAGAGAGCGAGAGAGAGTTCTCTAGCAAGCAAGAGCTAGTGAGAGTGAGAGCGAGAAGAGAGCGAGCTATAGAATAAGAAAATGAACTGCTTGAAGTTGACGTAAGAGCGAGATATGTATCGAGAGCGGGAAAGAGAGAGAGAGAGAGAGAGAGAGAGAGAGAGAGCGAGAGAGAGGCGAGAGATAGAGAGACGCCTAAAATAACAACCATACTGCAGGCTCCCGGCTCACGCCCTACCAACCTGAGCACTGTCTCGTTATCCCAAATCCCGGAATCGTTGAGCGGGGTCGGGAAACAGGTACGTAAAATTCATAGCAATTTGCCTTTCGGGATCCTTTAAAGGTATAGAGTACGTAGAATTTCTAAGACTAAAATCGTGCAGCGAGCCTTTTGCCTTGAGAACCCCTTTTAAAAACGTTTGAAGCTTGAGCATTTTCTACATTTTCTTTGCAGATAAGCGGCGCGTTCCGGGGCAGTTCAGTGCCGGCTTCAACGCTACAGGGTGACCTGCTCCACGCCGCCGACCTGATCACCGACAACATGAGCACATTGGTGCGAGAACTGGATAATGGTAAGTTTAGCGAGAGAGAGAGAGAGAGAGAGAGAGAGAGAGAGAGAGAGAGAGAGCTGGGCTAATGGCTCCATTTTCAGCCCACGACAGCGGCTACACGAATGGAGCGGAAATTGCTTAAAATTTACCGTAATTCCTGGATTTTACTGCCCAAATTAAGTTATTGTATGCAAATTTTAATATTAGGAACCTAACCTTAAAAACCTTGTTAACAAGCCTCTCTCTAATATTACGGGTCCCTGCGTCTCCGCCATTTCTTTAGCTCCAAATGTTTATGCGCCGATGAATCTATCGATTTCTCTCTCTCTCTCTCTCTCTCCTCTCTCTCTCTCTCTCTCTCTCTCTCTCTATTCCATTACCTTACGCTGATCCAAATTTTTTAATGCAAAATACACAGTACGCCCAAAGTATGATAAATTTTTATTTGAGCCGAGCGACACCCGTTTGGGAAAACACAAATACACAAATACACAAAATGTACATAAAACCGATAAAAAATTTAATAGTCAATGGCCGTCCAGCTGTCGGGCCACAGGTTGACGGGCGTCTTCGACTCGCGCTTGCTGAAGCGGGTACGGTAGAAGACGTCTTGGCCACGGGATACCATCGCGAGCCAATAGCCATATGTGGAGCTTGAGGCTGAAAAGGCTTGTATTTGTTGAAGCGAAAGAGAGAGAGAGAGCGCGAGAGAGAGAGAGGGAGAGAGAGAGAGAGCGCGATATAGAGCAAGGCGATACCTGTAAGAAGTGTCGTGTCGCAATACATATGCGAAAAACCCCAATCGACCATCGACGGCAACGACTTGGGCGAGTCGAGCACAGAAATGCCGACACCATCAGGAAAGGACTCGTCTGGAAAGTGCACAGGTAGCTTCCGCTTCCGAAGGTTACGGTAATCTCCCTACTCACTTGCAAACAATTGTTTTTGCCAAGGGCCATCCCGGCCGATGACGTAGATGTGCAGCTGCCGATGACCACGGTCAAGTACTGGAATTGGAAGTAGAGCGAGAGAGAGAGAGAGAGAGAGAGAGAGCGAGAGAGAGCGAGAGAGAGATAGAGAGAGAGTGAGATAGAGAGCCACCGATAGCGATATACCACCCACGTCTCTCCAGAATCTGCTTGGTGGCGGTGATGGTGAAGTTGGCTTGACTCTCGAGTGGGAATGGTGCACCCAGGAAGTCGCCGCGGCGGATGTGCACGCACAGGCTGAATGAGATTCTTAAGCCCCTGTCCAAGCCAAAAGCCTACTTGAGCGTGTTGTTGCTCTCAGGACGTCTCCCAGGACGTCCAGCGATTTCAAGGAGTTCAGCGGAAAACGCGAGGCGACGCTCTAATTCCGCAGTCCCGAGCAGGTCCTCGAAGAAGCGAATATTCTGAAAAATCCGAGTTTATTGGGAGAAGTGTTATTGTTAAAAAAATATCTAGGTTGCTAAAGGGATGGGTGTCAGGGCTGTTTTTGGGTTTGGGGTTTTGGGGAGGGGGGAAGGGGGGGGGGAGGGGAGGGGGAGGGGGGACGGGGTAAAGCATTGTGGGAGGGGAGGGGCCAAGGGGGGAGGGGGAGAGGGGGGGGTGGAGAGAGCGAGGGGGGAGAGAGAGGGGGGGAGAGAGAGAGGGGGGAGAGAGGGAGGGGAGAGGGGGGGGGGGAGAGAGAGAGGGGGGAGGGAAATTTGCCTTTTTTTGGCCACCACGTGTATGGCCCAGGCTTTTTCGTAAGTGCCGCGCCTGTGGCTGCAGCCTTACCAACCGGTTGCTTAGGCATTTGGACTACGTAGAACACGTAGCCAAGCCAGTATTTTATACTGCAAAGCCGAAGCTTTTCAAGCAGTTCACAAGCCGCAGCTTTCTCTTGGCATTAAGGGGAGCCATCCACCCATTTTCAGGCATTAAGGGGAGCCCTGACACCCATTGGTCGGCTGTACGGAGCCACCGGGTCAGAAGGTCGGGGTGAACCGACTGACGAATTGAGGTGGAGAGGGTTGGACTATCTGCCCAGACTGTGGGCCAGGTGGGGGGCGAGTGGGTAAGCACGGCGGCGCCCGGTTCCAATTACCCAAGTACCTGAAGATACTGGAAAGCGGTTGCGACGATGGGCGTTTGTTGAACGGAGCCGAACAGCTCGAGCGGGTCGAAGTAGTCGCGCGACCGGCGCCGTGCGTTTATTGACGGGTACGGCATTGCTTTCTAAGGACCCTTTTTTAGTTGATTATAGCACGTGCTTTTAAACACTTTTTTTGCCTTTTTTCCTACATGCAAAACTTTCCAAGCTTTCACTAAAAATATACAAAAAAGAAGGTTCTGGACTGTTAGCGGGGGGAGAGTGAAGCCACTTTTTTATTCTTATACCTATACCTACCTGCTGATACTATATTATGTATTTTTACAGTGTTTCTAGTAGTTTTTGATTCCTGGAAAGTCATGAACATATTTTAATAACAACCCCCCCCCGCTAACAGTCCAGAACCGAAATTCGCACTTCAAATCACGTTGACTTTTGCTAAGGATACTGTTAGCATCGATCCTCACCTGCTCTTCCAGCACCAAAAACCCCTCCAACAAGTTCGGCATGTACTTGGAAATCTCGCGCAGCTTCCGCATGCAGTGCTTGTTGGATGGGTAGATGGCCGGCGTTCTGGCAATGTTGCTTGCCTCCACGTACGTACTCAGGAAACGTACCTATCGAGTTTCCGGGCGATCTGCAAGAAGGAGATGAGCTCGAAGACGACATTCCCGACTCCACCACCGCCGGAAAATCCGCAAGCCCTCAGCGAGGCGACCAGGATGCGCTTGTCGGTGTCGTCGGCAAAGCGCATGCCGTGCGGCAGGCTGGAAAGTGAGAGAAAATGATCTCATAAAGAATCTCTGCTAGCCTGCCCGCGATTACGACTTGTTGAACCTACATAACATTTCCCGCGAGCTTCGAACTTCTCGAAGATGACCCTCTAAGCGCAGCGGTGCCGAGAAGAAAAACTCCGGCGAGCAGAAGGATAAGCCAGAAGCCTGGAAATTCTTCGATTAGCCGGGTCTCTCTTTCACTCTCTCTCATGCTCTCTCTCTCACATCAGGACTTTGTCGCGCCGGGATAAGATACGAAAGAAAGACAGAGAGAGAGAGAAAAAGAGAGAAAGCAATGCCGTATCCGGTCCTTTAAAACGCACCCCGAAGAGCTGTGCGCTTTAGAAGGAGTCGGCCGTGCATTCTTGGACGACAGCAAAAACCGTGTATTTCGTATCTTGGTCTGAGTTTGAGTATGCTAATTACTTTTACAAATGCAAATTTTCAAAATGCGGTTTATGCAAAGTGTGTTATCTTTTATTACATCCAGAAAACACCCGTTTTCACAGAAAGACAAAAAAAAAGGTAAAATCAGCATAAATGCAAGTTCGGGAGTACAAAGAGATCACGGTTGAGAGGTAGAAAACAGTGTGAATTAGCATAAATCTTTCGGGAAGTTCAAGGAGGTCAGTAGTCAATGGCCGTCCAGCTGTCGGGCCACAAATTGACGGGCGTCTTCGGCTCGTACTTGCTGAAGCGGGTCCGGTAGAAGACGTCTTGGCCACGGGAGAGCATCGCCAGCCAGTAGCCATAGGTTGAGATTGAGGCTGAAAAGATTTGTTGAAGCGAGAGAGAAAGAGCGCGCGAAAGAGAGAGAGAGGGCGAGAGAGACCGAGAGAGGGAGAGAGAGTTAGAGAAAGAGAGAGAGAGAGAGAGAGAGAGAGAGAGAGCGAGAGAGAGAGAGAGAGAGAGAGAGAGAGAGAGAGAAAGAGAGTAGATGGTACCTGTAAGAAGTGTCGTGTCGCAATACAAATGCGCGAATCCCCAATCTACCATAGATGGCAGATAGGAGGGAGAGTGGATCACCGAAATTCGAGCATCACGTGGCAGGGTCTCATCTGGAAACTGGGCTTGGGCTTGGGCTTAGGCTTATGCTTAGGCTTAGGCTTAGCTTCGGCTTTGGCTTAGGCTTAGGCTCAAACTCACTAGCAAACAATTCCCTCGTCCAAGCCCCGTCCTGGCCGAGGATGTAGATGTGGAGCTGCTCGTAGCCGCGCTTGCGCACTGAGGAGAGGTTTGAATTTTTGCCCCATAAACCCACTCTTCTTCATGATGTACTTTGTCGCGTCGAGGGTGAAGTCGGCTTCGCTCTCCAGGTGGAAATCCTCCTTCAGGAAGTCGCCTCGGCGGATGTGGATGCAGATGCTAAAAGGGGATTTTTGAGAAGCCTAAGTCAAGCCAAGCCGTAGCCTAAGCCAAGCCTAAGCCAAGCCTAAGCCAAGCCTAAGCCCAGCATAAGCCTAAGCCTAAGCCTAAGCCTAAGCCTAAGCCTAAAGCCAAGCTTACTTATGCGTGTATTCGCTCTGCTTCTTCGTGTACATGGCCAGGCGGGCGACGTCAAGGAGTTGGGGGGAGAAGGCGAGGCGGCGCTTCAGCTCCTCGGTTCCGACCATGTCTTCGAAGAAGCGCAAATTCTGAAATTTCGGGAGATCACTTTATTACTGTAGCTTTTCTCACCTGTAAATAGTTCAATTGCGTATTGACGACACGTAGGTGCTGCACAGAGCTGAACGTCTCCACCGGGTCGAAGTATTCGAAGCACTCGTGGGTTGGGTATTTCGAGGGGTATGGCCAGATCAACTGCAAGAAACATAATTTCATGAGTTCAGCCTTTTAAAGGACCATTGAAGGCATAATGTTCAACCTAAAAAACTGGCGCTCACCTGCTTCTTCAGCACCAAAAAACCCTCCAACAAGTTCGGCATGTACTCGGAAAATTCGACCAATTTTTTGAGGCACACATCGTTGTCCGAGTAGATGGCTGGGGTCCTAAAATCGTTAGAACTGAGCTGTAAGTTAGTGCGTTGCGTACCTGTACAGCTTCCTGGCGATCCCGAGAAAGGAGATGAGCTCGAAGACGACATTTCCGACTCCACCGCCACCGGAAACCCCACAAGCCGTCAGCGAGGCGACCAGGATGCGTTTGTCGGTGTCGTCGGCAAAGCGCATGCCATGCGGCAGGCTGGAAAATGAGGTTAAGTGTACTGTGTAACCTGCCGTTTCCTAAAGAATCGCTGCTAGCCTGCCCTTTCCTAAACGACCTCTGCTAGCTAGCCTCCGATTCCTAAATGATCTCCGCTAGTTCCCCACAACCCCTAAATCAGCTCATTGTAACAACATTTTAAAGGGAACGAGACGCGAAGAGAAATCACCAAGTTTCATCTTCATCGAAAATTCATTTCAAAAACCCACAATACAATCCGATCATTCTGGACCTCGTGTAGCCAAAGTAGAAGCGTGATGCAGAGCAGTAAAATGCCAGCAAAAGGCAGAAAACGCGAGGCCGACAACACGCCCGGCCAGCCACCGCCGCTCATCCGTGCATCTGGAAATGTAGAATTGGAATAAGAACATAAAATAGCTAATTAGCAAAGTGAGAGAGAGGGAGAGAGTGAGCGAGAGAGAGGGAGAGGGTGAGCGAGAGAGTGCGAGCCATTTTTTAAGGATTTAAATTCTGAAATAGCTGATCAGTTAAGTAATAGAAAATAGTTACAATTTGAGTAAGGGAGGGAGAGAGGGCATGAGAGTCTGTGATAAAGCAGTAAGTAAACGCGATAAGCGGAAGTGAAAAAATTTGGGGGAGACGTTGCCCTGGCAACCATCAAAAAGCAGGGGCATTGCACAAACTTTTCCCGGCCCCGAGAATAGAGGCATGGAAATCGGATTAGCAGGTGGTAAAAACTATGGGGGCGAGAGAGAGAGAGATAGAGAGAGTGAGCGGGGGAGAGCGAGACAGAGACGATCGCCTGTCAAGTAAAATAACCATCGAAATTCTCGATTTTTGCTGACTTAAAATATTCAAATATCAAGAAAAATCATGAAAAGTATCATTCTTATCAGCTGAATTTCAGGGCCCGAATATCGATTTTTGCCGGGCGCGACATTTTGGGGCAGAAGTGCATCGGGGCCAATGTTTGTTTTTGGGTGAGCGGAGCGGGAAGTTTTGCATTATTTACGTTAGGCTTTGAATTTTGGATACAAGTGAGGGCAGGCTAGCAGACATTCTTTAGGAAGGGTAGGCTAGCAGAGATTGTTTAGGAAAGGGCAGGCTAGCAGAGATTGTTTAGGAAAGGGCAGGCTAGCAGAGATTCTGTAGGAAAGGGCAGGCTAGCAGAGATTCTTTAAGAAAGGGCAGGCTAGCAGAGATTCTTTAGGAAAGGGCAGGCTAGCAGAGATTCCTTAGGAAAGGGCAGGCTAGCAGAGATCCTTGGGAATTCCTAAGATTATAATGACCGAAAACACTTTAAAAAATAGCTGCTGTTGGTGTGTGGAATTATGGTGTGGAAATTGTATAGGGGTGGGAGGCCGGGAGGGTATTTGGCGTCTCCGTGAAGATGCTAATCGTCTCCCCTCAAATGGCGCCTCACAACGCCCTTCCCGCAGACACATCATTCCCTGTATTTTGGAACTTTCCGGAGAAGGGGACATGAAGGGAGTCTATACAAAGGAGGGCGGAAAAAGGGGCAGCTAGCAAAGGTCATTTAGGAATTTTTGCGGGTCGGAAGCCAAAATTATTTCTGTCCGATATGTTCCTAAGCCCAAGCCTATGCCTAAGCCTAAACCAAACCTAGGCTAAGCCCAAGTCCAAGCCAAGCTGAAGCCTAAGCCTAAGCGTGAGAACCAGCAGATCCAAATCTCAAATTCGAGACGTTGCCGATCTAGAACTTTCTGGCGAAGCAGAACTTGCCTGGGTGAACTTCTTGGACTGCGCTTCCGGGTTGGCAAGCTAGCAGAGATTCTTTAGGAAAGGGCAGGCTAGCAGAGATTCTTTAGGAAAGGGCAGCCTAGCATCGATTCCTTAGGAAGACGAAGGATTCCCAGTCCCTTGAAAGGTCACTTTTCCAGAGTCCCATGAGTTCTCGTCATTTCCTCATTTTCTCCCTGATGCAACATTTGAATGACCGGAGGGGACCCCCTTCTTTCTCTGGGCTCTCTCATTTTTGATGCTCTCTCGCCGAGGTGGCTCCAGATCTTGAGCCGATAGCCTGAGGTGGAGCTGGAGCCGTAGGTATGAACCGTGGTGTAGCGTGAGAAATGTCAAAATTAGGGGATATCATATGTTCAAGGAGAGAGGGAGAGAGAGAGAGAGAGAGAGAGATCGAGAGAGAGAGAGAGATCGAGAGAGAGAGAGAGTGATAAAAAGAGAGAGAGAGAGAGAGAGAGAGAGCGAACGAGGGAGAGAACGAGGGAGAGAGAATGATAAAGAGAGCGTGATAAAGAGAGAGAGCGAGAGAGAGAGAGAAAGAGAGAGAGAGACTGGGTGTGAGACAGAGAGGGAAATCGATATAGTCGACTTCAACCCTCCCAGTCCCTTTAAAAACCCAAATCACGAAAAAATCTGAAGCAGGCAAGCGAGTAGAGATTCTTAGAGGTTCCAACTTTCCAAAGTACACCAAATTACAGTATACCCACCCGTCTTTCCAGAGCGTTGCGTAGTCGGAGTAGTAGCTGCGGAAATTTGAGCAGAAATCGTGGTCATAGCTTCTTAGGCACGAAAGCTCGTGCTCCAAAAGTCTCAGGCTCAGCTCCCGGGTGGCTTCTCGTGTCGCGAGGCCCTCTAAAAGCCGCCCGGAAATTATCGCCGCCTGAGAATCTCGAATTTACCGCGCTCGGCTGCCCAGCCGCACCCGGATGGTCGGCGCGCAGACCTGTTTACAAAAGTTGTCCGTGTGGTCTCGTAGCGGAGCTTTTTTGGGAGAGAGAGAGAGAGAAAGAGAGAGCGAGAGAGAGAGAGAGAGAGAGAGAGAGAGAGAGAAAAGAGAAATGGAGACCATGCAAAGATTCAAATCTCGACGGCTTCTTCTCACGGCTCGCAAACAATCCCGGGTGAAAAACTGGAATTTTTGGGCGGTGAGTCATTGTTTTTGGGGGTTTCTGTGAAGGTTAACACAAAAACTATCTCTCTCCCTCTCTCGCTTTCACTCTCTCTCTCTCTCTCGCTTTCCGCATCTCTCTCCATCGCTCTCTCTCTCTCAATCTCTTTTACTCTCTCTCCTCTCTCCTTTTAATCAATAATTTATTGAGCAGCCATTGAACACAGAAAATGGTACATAAAACCCGTAAAATATTAGAGCCAAAAAGATCTATGAATTTAAGCACAAAGGCCAGTCGACGTTTCACAACTCGTTCCGGTCGGACACTTCGAACACGTTTGGCCCGCCGTGTAGGCGTTCGTCTTCAGGTAGTTTCCACTAAAATAAATAAGTAATTGATGATTTAACGACGAATCTAAAGCTCGGCCTGAACGGCTTGGAGTCGTTGAAAATTGCCGGGGATAGCCAATAAAAAAAGAAACTTACGGTTTCGTATACTGGCATACGACGATAACATTGTGTCCACTGCTGCACAAGGTTGCCCCCGCATCCCATTTGGCTCGAGTCGGACCAGGCCATCTACAAAAGTAGAATGCAGGGAGAGAGAGAGAGAGAGAGAGAGAGTGAGAGAGAGTGAACGAGAGTGAGAGAGATACCTGCGTCGCGTGTCCAACTCCCGTGTCAAACACTTCAATCGAAAATTTGAGGCTGGACCAACCGAACTCCTGGAATTCGTTGGCCCAGGCGGTTGCGGATTTGTTGCCTGAATCATAGCGTATCGTACAATTCCCCAAAGAAACTCTGCTAGCCTGCCCTTTCCTAAAGAATATCTGCTAGCCAGCCCTTTCCTAAAGAAACTCTGCTAGCCTGCCCTTTCCTAAATATTCTCTGCTAGCGTACCCTTCCCATCTATCGTATCCGCCGCCGACGACCAGCTCATGTACAAATTCTCGCCCAATCCCGTCGTATTTGAATGTTCAAACACGCATTTATTGGCGTAGGCCTGGGCCGAGGATTCTAGCGTCGTGTTCCATTTCTAAAAATATAAATAATTTAATAGACAACTATGTAAAGAGTCCAAAAATATACTTAACCTGAAAAAAATACTTTAATAAACCAGGAAACCGAACCAAACTCACAATTTTCAGCATATCAGCCGCGGCGGGCATTTTGACACCCTTGGCGGTGAACTTGCCGAGGGCGATCTGAGCTCGGAGGTTGTTGTGGACCTGGAAAAAATGCTTTTAAAGGAGTTGTGAAGTCTTGGAGTTGTGGATTGTGGCTTCAATAGTCCTTTAGAATATACAGGTAAAATTACTAACTTTTTGACTCTCGCTCTTTCTCTTTCTGTCTCTCTCCCAATTGATAGAGTTAGATAGAGATAGTGAGAGTGTGCCAGAGAGCGAGAGAGAGAGAGAGAGAGAGGGCTTGAGAAAGCAAGAGAGGGGAGGGAGAGAGAGAGCTAGAGAGAGAGAGATTGAGGATACCAAGAGAGACAAAAATCGGTAAAATCGCTTACCCTCAATAAATCATCCTTATCTTGTTGCTTAAATCCAGCCCCGTAGGCGACACTAATAAAAATAGAACACAAGAATACGGTATTCATAGTGCTATTTAGAGCTATAAGAATTCCTAGTTGAATAAGGTAAGTTACTGGAATCCCAGCTCGCTCCTAGCATCCCTGGAACTTCCTTAAATATTGACCACCGTGTCCGGGTCGTGTGGCCAAATATGGGCCATTTACTGGGCCCAACACAGGACCCAATTGTTAAGGCGGACACGCGCGCCTTGGGGCCCATTTTGGAGCATTTTTTGGTGTTGACTTTAGGGTTCCTTTAGATGGCCTGGGGGCACGCTTTATTGGGATTTAGCGCAGTTGAAAGGTTGGAAGTTTAGATGAGCAAAGTACCGGAATACCGGCAGATATACCGACAGAGATAGAAAGAGAGGGAAAGAGGGAGAGAGAGAGAGAGAGAGAGAGAGAGAGAGAGAAAGAAGCGAGAGAGGGAGATAGACAAAGAGAGAGTTTTTTCAGTACGACCGTTTATTGTTCTTAAGAAAGCTCATCAACGCAGCTACGCAATGCTTCAAACAACACTCTATCCGACGTCACAACCCCTAAAATACCTAAAGGCGTTCAATCGGGTGGAGTGATTTTTTTGACTCTTCCGCCCGGTTAACCCCTGACTCCCCGAGCCCATGCGCTCCCAATGACTATGCAGGTTTCGCAAGGTTAAGAGTCTTCGGCTCTATCTCTCTCTCTCTCTCTCTCTCTCCTTTGCTCTCTTTCTCTCGCTTGAGATTCTTCTGCCCTGCTGAACGCTGGAAATTTATAAGCCGAGAGGAACGTGCAAAAGCACGAATGAATGGACGTCAGCGCGGAGTCACGCGGAATTTAGGACCAACTACGTCTTAAGCCCAAGCCTAAGCCCAAAGCCCAGTCAGCGTTTTCAGCCGGCGGACGGAACTTCACTTCGGCGCTCAATCGACTTTACAACAGGTCTGTTTTTAAAACCCTATTCGGTTTTTAGGGTTGCTTTATCGCATTTTGTTCAGAATTGTTCATTTTTTATGCCGTTTTTTTATTATTTACTGCGTTGCTCTGGAAAGATCGTAATTTTTTGCAATGCGCAGTATATGTTTCTCTCACCCTCTCTCTCGCGCGCTCTATCTCTCTCTAGCTCTCTCTCTCTACTCACTCTCTCTCCCTCGTTTTCCAAGCAGTCACGATCCTCCTATCATTTCCTTTTTTCTGATGCTCATTTTGCTGCTCCTGATGCTCAAAGATCATCCGGAATTCCGATACCCCCGTTCGTGTCAGATTCCAAGAGTGGCGATGCCAAACGGAGGGCCGCTTTTTGGCAAGGCGCCAAAAACAATCGGGTCAGAATTCCTGGGTCGTACGTCTTCACGGGGTTAATGCTCATTTAGCCAGGCAGAGATGGCAATTCCCTAAAAAGGCAATTTCCGCTCCTCCGTCCAGAGGAATGGATCGTAGTGGGAGGCTAAAAAATGGGCTTTTTTCTCGTTTGCAAGGAGAATAAGCTAGAAATTAAACGAGTAAATGGACGTAATTTATCTCGCTCTCTCTCTCTCTCTCTCTCTCTCTCTCTCTCTTAGCCCATTTTTTCAGCAGCAGGCTTCTCCATCCGGTCAACTCGTCCCATTGGCTCCCCGTAATCTCGCGTTCCGGGTGGGCCCCAATTTCCCGCCGAGTTTTTCTGCCTCTCTCTCTCTCTCGCTCTCTCTCTCTCTCTCTCTCGCTCTCTTTCTGCTAACCCATCTGTGGTCCCTAAGCTGCCGTAGGGCCCTGATTCTTCTCGCGGGGTCGAAGAGGCCCCCTGGCTGAGACCCGAGGCCCTGGGCCCTTAACTTCTTCGTTTTTGGGCGCCAAGCCGACGACCGCTGCTATATTATTAATTGGGGGGTTCATATCGAGTGCTGCAAGAGCGGTTGAGCACAACAGATCATTTTTGTTTTTTTCGTCTCAAGACGTGAAATTCTGGCTAGCAGAGATTCTTTAGGCAAGAGCAGGCTAGCAGAGATTCTTTAGGAAAGGGCAGGCTAGCAGAGATACTTTAGGAAAGGGCAGGCTAGCAAGATTCTTTAGGAAAGGGCAGGCTAGCAGAGATTCTTTAGGAAAGGGCAGGCTAGCAGAGTTTCTTTAGGGAAGGGCAGGCTAGCATAGTTCTTTAGGAAAGGGCAGGCTAGCAGAGATTATTGTGGATAGAACTTCTAGTTTTCCATTTTTTCACAAACTACTTCGAAGCTACGCGACGCTCCTAGCAACAAAAAACTTGTTGATCCAGCGCTAACAAGCAGATTTTTGGTCTGGGAAGTTCTGGCTTCAAAAAGATCGCATTTTCACAACTATTCAAGCCGAATTTCGGGGGACCCAGATTCTGGAATCAAATTTTCCGAGCTTGACCCCAGTGATCGGCTTCGCGTTCCTTAAAAATGTTTCGGTTTTGATTGCATTTTTATACTCCGAAGTTTTTAGTAATTTGCAACTACTGTATCTGACAGATCCAAAAATGTAAATTTTCTAGTGAATGCTACTAAAAATGGAGCGTTTTATCTTGCGGATGGTTGGCTGGCTGAGCGGAAATGGTAGGTTTTATCGAAAAATTATCGCTTTCTCTCGCTCTCTCTCTCTCGCTCTCTCCCTACCTCTCTCCCTCTCCTCTCTCTCTCTCTCTCTCTCTCTCTCTCTCTCTCTCGAATTCTCACGATTTCACTGCTCCGCCAATAAAAGACCCGCATTTTAATTCCGGGAAAAGCAGCAGCAAACGGAATTCCAGAAAAGCACGCTTCGAATTTTATTGCGGGGCCCCGGGTTTAGTGTTGAGTTTTTCGGCCGATTCGCGCCAGGACCTGCAGAATTTATGCAGCGCAGAAATGGGTGGAAATTCAGTCGCTCGAATTTTTGGGGCCTGGCTACCGTAACCCAGAGATTCTCTTGGAAGCCTGGTTTGCCAAAAGAATCCTCTGCTGGCCTGCCCTTTCCTAAGAATCTCCTGCTAGCCTGCCCTTTCCTAAAGAATCTCTGCTCCCAGCCTGCCCTTTCCTAAAGAATCTCTGCTAGCCTGCCCTTTCCTAAAGAATCTCTGCTAGCCTGCCCTCAATTATTGTGGAATTCTTCAGCCTTACAGTACCCTAAAAATTCCAATAAATTTTCTCACGTCATCGGAACTCTGATAGGGACTATAAATTTATAAAATACCTCCCAGAAGTTTTTGTGGAAAAAAACACTTTTGCTTGGGGCTTAAATCCCGGCCTGGTAATGCTCATCAGAAATTCCGGGGAGGTGAAGTGTACCTCACCTACGTAAGGGCCATTTCAGGAATTTCTGCCCTAGGCGAAAGCCCAAACGTTCCATGCATCGGCGAAAGCAGCTGTTTTCTGCCGGATTTTCCGCTTTTGAAAATTTGTTGAGAATTTAGTGATTCCCAAATGGCCTCTGCTAGCCTGCCTCAATCCTCAAATAATCCCTGCTAGCTTGCCAATTCCCAAAAGATCTCCGCCAACCTGCCTCCGACCATTCCTAACGAATCTCTGCTAGCCTGCCTTATCCTAAGGAAACTCTGCTAGCTTGCCTCAATTCCCAAATGACCTCTGCTAGCCATCCT